AGTATAATACAAGTCTTCCCCTACCCCTTCCCCGCCACTCTAACCAGTATAATGCAGTCATCTCCTACCACTGCCCTACCTCTTCCCCTACCCCTGCCCCTGCCACTCTGCAGTATAATACAAGTCTTCCCCCTACCCTACCCCCTGCCACTCTACCCAGTATAATACAAAGTCTTCCCCTACCCCCTGCCCCTGCCACTCTACCCAGTATAATACAAAGTTTGCCCCTACCCCTACCCCTGCCACTCTATCCAGTATAAAACAGTCTTCCTCTACCCCTTACCCTGCCATTCTACCTAGTATAATACAAGTCTTCCCCTACCCTGCCCCTGCCACTTGCAGTATAATAAGTTTTACCCCTACCCCTGCCACTCTATCAGTATCAAACAAGTCTTCCCCTCTACCCCTACCCTGCCCCTGCCATTCTGCAGTATAATACCAGTTTTACCCTACTACCCCTGCCACTCTATCAGTATAAAACAAGTCTTACCTTCCCTACCCCCTGCCACTCTATCAGTATAAAACAATTCTTCTCCTACCCCAACCCCTGCCACTCTAACCAGTATAATACAAGTCTTCCCCTACCCTACTCCTTGCCACTCTACCAGTATAAAACAAGTTTTTCCCCTTACCCTACCCCCTGCCACTCCACCCAGTAATAATACAAGTTCTACCCCTACCCCTACCCTGCCCTGCCACTCTACCAGTATAAAACAAGTCTTCTCTCTACCCCTACCCCTACCCCCTGCCACTCTACCGAGTATAATAAAAGTCTTCCCCTACCCTACCCTGCCACTCTACCAGTATAATGCAAGTCATCTCCCTACCCCTACTCCGCCACTCTGCTAGTATGTCCAAGTCTTCCCTTTCCTTACCCCACCCCTGTCACTCTGCCAGTGGCCAAGTTTTCCCCTTACCCTACCCTGCCCTCCCCAGTATAATACAAGTTTTACCCTACCCTGCCCCTGCCACTCTACCAGTATAAAACAAGTCTTCCCTCTACCTCTACCCTACCCCTGCCACTCTGCCTAGTATAATACAAGTCTTCCCCTACCCCTACCCTGCCACTTTACCCAGTATAATACAAGTTTTTACCCCTACCCTACCACCTGCCACTCTGTCAGTATAAAACAAGTCTTCCCTCTACCCCTACCCCTGCCCCTGCCATTCTACCCAGTATAATACCAGTTTTACCCCTACCCTATCCCCTGCCACTCTATCAGTATAAAACAAGTCTTCCCTTTCCCTACCCCTACCCCTGCCACTCTATCGAGTATAAAACAAGTCTTCCCTACCCTACCCCTCCTGCCACTCTATCAGTATAAAACAAGTCTTCCTCTACCCCTACCCCTACCTGCCACTCTATCAGTATAAACGTCTTCCCTCTCCCTACCCCTGCCCTACCCCCTGCCCTCTATCAGTATAAAACACGTCTTCCCTCTCCCTACCCCTACCCTGCCACTCTATCAGTATAAAACAAGTCTTCCCTCTACCCCTGCCCCTACCCTGCCACTCTATCAGTATAAAACACGTCTTCCCTCTACCCCTACCCCTACCCCCTGCCACTCTATCAGGTATAAAACACGTCTTCCTCTACCCTACCCCTACCCCTGCCACTCTATCCAGTATTATACAAGTCTTCCCTCTACCCCTACCCCTGCCCCTTCATTCTACCCAGTCTAATGCAAGTTTTACCCCTACCCTGCCCCTGCCACTCTACCAGTATAAAACAAGTCTTCCCTCTGCCTCTACCCCTACCCTGCCCACTCTACCTGGTATAATCAAGTCCTACCCTACCCCTGCCACTCTGCAGTATAATAAGTTTTACCCTACCCCCTGCCACTCTGTCGGTATAAAACAAGTCTTCCCTCTACCCCTACCCCCTGCCACTCTACCCAGTATAATACAAGTTTTACCCCTACCCTACCCCTGCCACTCTGCCAGTATAAAACAAGTCTTCCCTCTGCCTCTGCCCTACCCCCTGCCACTCTACCTAGTATAATACAAGTCTTCCCCTACCCTACCCCCTGCCACTCTGCCAGTATAAAACAAGTCTTCCCTCTACCTCTACCCCTACCCTGCCACTCTACCAGTATAATAAAGTCTTTCCCTACTACCACCTGCCACTCTACCGAGTATAAATAAGTCTTCCCTCTACCTCTACCCTACCCCTACTACTCTACCTAGTTAATACCAGTTTGCCTACCCCTGCCCTCTGCAAGTATAAAACAAGTCTTCCCCTACCTCTACCCCTACCCCTGCCACTCTACCTAGTATAATAAGTCTTCCCCCTACCCTACCCCTGCCACCCAGTATATACAAGTTTCCTACCCTACCCCTGCCACTCTATCGCAGTATAAAAGTCTTCCCTCTACCCCTACCCCCCCTTCTATTCTGCAGTATAATACCAGTTTTACCCCTACCCTATCCCTGCCACTCTATCAGTATAAAACAAGTCTTCCCCTACCCCTACCCCTACCCCCTGCCACTCTATCAGTATAAACAAGTCTTCCCTCTACCCCTACCCCTGCCCCTATTCTGCAGTATAAACAGTTTACCCTCCCTATCCCTGCCACTCTATCAGTATAAACAATTCTTCCCTCTACCCCTACCCCTACTGTCAGGTATACAGTCTTCCCCCTACCCTGCCCCCTTCCACTCTACAGTTATACAAGTTTACCCCTACCCCTACCCCTGCCACTCTATCGAGTATAAAACAAGTCTTCCCTCTACCCTACCCCTACACCCTGCCACTCTATCAGTATAAAACAAGTCTTCCTCTACCCTACTGCCACTCTATGAGTATAAAACTAGTCTTCCATCTACCCCTGCCCCACACCCCTGCCACTCTATCGGTATAATACAAGTTTACCCCTGCCCCTACCCCTGCCCCTGTCACTCTACCCAGTATAATAAGTCTTCCCCTACCCCTGCCCCTGCCTCACCCAGTATAATACAAGTTTTACCCCTGCCCCTACCCCTGCCCCTGTCACTCTACCCAGTATAATACAAGTTTTACCCCTACCCCTACCCCTGTCCTCTATCGAGTATAGAACAAGTCTTCCCCCTACCCCTGCCCTCTACCCAGTATAATAAGTCTTCCCCCCTACCCCTGCCCCTGTCCTCTACCCTATAACATCGTTTCACCCTCCCCCTCCAAACATCCCCCTACCTCCCTCTCCCAGTATAATATAAGTTTACCCTACCCCTACCTGCCACACTATCGAGTATAAAACAAGTCTACCCTCTACCCTACCCATTCCCCTGCCACTCTATCAGTATAAAACAAGTCTTCCCTCTACCCTACCCCTACCCCTGCCACTCTATCGAGTATAAACAAGTCTTCCCCTACCCCACCCCTGCCACTCACCCAGTATAATACAAGTCTTCCCCTACCCCTCCCCCTGCCACTCTCCAGTATAATACAAGTTTTACCCCTGCCCTACCCCACCCCCTGTCCTCTACAGTATAATACATGTTTTACCCCTACCCCTACCCCCGCCACTCTATCAGTATAGAACAAGTCTTTCCCCTACCCTGTCCCTGCCACTCTACCCAGTATATTACAAGTCTTCCCCTACCCCTGCCCCCTGTCACTCTACAGTATAATACAATTTTTACCCCTACCCCTACCCCCTGCCACTCTATCGAGTATAGAACAAGTCTTCCCCTACCCCCTACCCCCCTGCCACTTTACCCAGTATAATACAAGTTTACTACACCCTACTCCCTGCTACTCTATCAGTATAAAACAAGTCTTCCCTCTACCCCTACCCCTACCCCTGCCACTCTATCGATTGTAAAACAAGTCTTCCCTCTACCCTACCCTGCCCTGCCACTTTACCCAGTATAATACAAGTTTACCCTACACCTACCCCTGCCACTCTACCCAGTACAAGTCTTCCCCCTACCCCTGCCCCTGCCACTCTACCGAGTTTAATACAAGTCTTCCCCAGCCCCTGCCACTCTACCCAGTATAATACAAGTCTTCCCCCTACCCCTACCCCTCCGTATAATGTCATCATTTATTACTACAGCATTAGAGAAAATAAACCAAAGATCTATCATAATTTATATTTAACACTTTATTTTCAACTTTCCGTGTATATAATTGCTTATATCACAATTATTCACAACTATTACAAGACTCTTCTTTTAAGACTACTATTTTGTATAATGCTTGTCCATATTCATATAAAAAAACACTCTCCGGCCAGCATATGATATAGAGAACCTGAAAGTATAATGCTTTATCATCTAGATACTTGTATACGACTGTTCATCTTCCCTGGAGTACTCTATAATGTTTATCTTAGATAATATTCATTTAAAATCTCCTCCTTCCAGCATTTAATATATGAAATCCTTTATATTATTTCTAATATAAGACTCTATTTTCTTAGGTGAGACTCCAGCAGCAATGCAGACTAACGGAGGCAAGAGTCTTATGCTGTGGCGAATCTCTAGTCAAGGAGGAGGTGTGCTGGTCCATCCTCTGCTGCTCTGGGCACTGCTGGTGCTCTTGTTGTGGCAGGTGCTGTGTTGGGGCAGCTTGGCCATCCCTGGAGTGCTGTGTTGGGGTGGCTTAGCTTCCACAGCTGGCCTCCTGAGGGGCGGTGGAACCTGAGGAGAAAGAGAGAAAACGGACTTGCGAATGACGGAGTTCCCCCTTCTACTTGGACGTCCTTGTAGAGCTGCCAATGGTGTGTGGTGATGCGTTGGGATGTTGACGTTCAATCTGCTGTCAACCTTGACAGAAATGTCGATGGAACTGTTGTCTAGCGTTTGGCTTTGACTTTGTAACTATTGTATTACGTTTAATTTAGCGTTGGCATTTTTGGAACTAAAACGTAGTCTAACACCAAATTCAAATTCTTGACTAAGGTTCAGAGATTGAGTTTCACTGTGAAGCTTCATTCAGTGCGAGAGCCTTCAGTCACCGCGAGAACCTTCAGTCACCGCGAGAACCTTCAGTCACCGCGAGAACCTTCAGTCACCGCGAGAACCTTCAGTCAACGCAACGTCAATTTTTTCTTTGCCAAGCAGCTCGTCTCTAAGGTAGCATTTTTTACATGTTTGTCTCTAAGAATCTTGGTCGCGAAGCAGAAGTCCAACGCCAGAAAACGTCAGATTTTTTGCCAAAGAATTAGAACCAGATTTTGAATGCGAGACTGTAATCTTAACGCCAAAAGTCCAGATTCTTAATGTATACGTCCGAAATCTAGGAGTGAGAAAAGCCGCGGGACAGTGCAGCATAGACACCTGTACATACCTGAACAGTTCATCTACAATGTGTGTACACCTGATGAAAAAATAAAATTGTACATAAACAAAAAATATAAAACTCGTGTACACGTCAAAAGTGCCTTGTACATAAGAAGTCTCCCGTGTGAGTGTAGGTTACTAAGTGTACATAGTGTTGACATTTATATATATTTAGATAATGCCGTGTAGACGTTTGGTGAACCTCCGTGTACATACATTAAAGTGTACACCATGGGAGTGATGTGTACGTGATGTAGGTGCCGTGTACAGTACATCAAGAGAGAACTGGGTATACCCTTAATTAAGATTTCGTGTACATCACCAAATCAAGCTGTGTGCACCATCAAATTTAAGTGTACACTAACGAAAGATATGTGTGCATCCCGAGAGGTCCATGTACGCATTCGTGTATGTCATAGCTTCGAATATTCCTTTACACACAATCAAAAAAGTATCTTTACGGATGGGTTTTGTTGTCTCGGTAGGATTGTCCAAATCTTACGTTCGTTGTGTCATATTGTCTAACACGAAATTGTAAAGATACTTTTTGATTGTCTGTACACACGAGCATAAAAGTATCTGTACAGTAAGTCCGATGATTTCCTAAATGATCACTACACCTATGGCCGCAACGTAACCACCAACACGAACCACGCTACACATTGTTCGCAAGATTAATCTATTTTCTTCTGACTGTGTATATAATAACAACACGTACGATGGATAAAGCAGGAAAAGTCGCTAGCAAGCGATATACTCCTATGGCATTTTGCAATATCCATCGTCCGTAGTGTCACATTGTTTCGCAGAAATGTGCACAGATACTGATTTGGTCGTGTGTACATCATAAGATATTCATGTACACCACGAGACACCCGTGTACTTGAAGGTTTCGTGTGTTCCATATTGAAATTTTTTTGCACATATGGAAATAGCGTGTACACATTAAGAAAACTTTACTCAAAGAGAAGAATATGTACACCACGAGAGATCCAAGTACGTATTGGGAAGTACATGTACATAACCTGTCCGTACAGACTGTTGTTACGAGTCCAAGAAATGTCTGTTGTTGGTGTACTTATTCAGCGGAGGTCGCTAGGATAATTTCGAAATAAAATATTTAAATTATCATTATTGTAAATATTCTCCTGTGAGTATTATACCAGGTGGCATATATGTGTGTGTGTCATATATATCTGTGGCATATATGTGTGTCATATATGTCTGTGGCATATATGTGTGTGTCATATATGTCTGTGGCATATATGTGTGTGCGTCATATACAGTTTGTGTATGTGACATTTATGTGTCTGGCATGTATTTGTGGCATATGTGTAAGTCATATATGTGTGACATATACACCTGTGTCTGGCATATGTGTGTTATATGTGTGTGACATATACACCTATGTATCTGTGGTATAGATATATATATATATATATATATATATATATATATATATATATATATATATATATATATAATATTATTATTATTGTTGTGTGTTGTGTGTGTGTGTGCCAGAACCTGAAGGGAGTCTTGAAGGTCGTGACCGAGGTAAAAATGAAGTCTCAGAAGCATCTTTGAGAATACAGAATGTTATTTTGTTTTCACTTTGCCTCACTTCCTTCAACCCTCACCAACCACACACGTCCATCCCCTGAGCCCTTCCTCACCTCATCCCACTGGTTCCCCTCACCTGGCCCTCATCCATCCTCAGTTTCTGTCTCTCACGTCTCAGTCCTCATCGTGCCTTAGTTCTCAATCCATTATTTCACCCCTCATTTCATCTCATTCCCTTTGACTCTCACAGTTTCCAGCCCTCATCTTACACAACCTCATCTTTTAGCCCTCACCTATCACCCACTCAACAGTCACTCCACGCCCCTTACACCTCCTTCCTAGCCCTTACCTCACCCTACGTCCCTCGTCCGTCTCCTTTCTTCATCCTTCACCCAATAACCAAAGGATTGAGGTGATGTATTCTATTAGTTCATCATCCTCAGCTCAACTCTCAGCGTGATTCGTAAGCAGCTGAGAAAAGGGGATTCTAGACTATTTTTATTTCTTTGTTCACAACTCACTTTGAGCTAAGAGAAGGAAACTCTCTTCTCATTTCTGTTTCTCAAACTTCATCGGCATAGAAACAACTGACTGAGCTGAGAGCTGGAGGTTTGTATCTCAGTTGTGTGTCTTCACTTCCATGATAAAGAAACGAGTGACTTTGAGCTGAGAAAATAAGTCCTATCTCAGTTCGGGTTAGGAGAGAGTGAACCCTTGCCTCAGTTCTGTTCCCTGACGTTCATGTTTTTACTCCCCGGGTTAAGAGATAAGACATTCATGGCACTTCGAGCTAACAGGCGGTAAGTTATGCTCTATGGAGTTTCCTATGGCCTGGACGAAAGTTTGAGGATAAACTTTTTTCCGTATATTTGAAGTTTTAGTGGATACCTTCGTTAGGAGTTTTCCTAAGAGAAAAACTAAAATTAAAAAAAACTAACTGTTAATACCATGATAAGATCGGTTTGAAAACGTCAATATGTAACTGGAAATAGTAAAGTGACGTCACAATGAAAATGATGTTAAGATAAAATTACTATAGACATGTCAAGATCGTTTCAAAATGGAAACGCCAAGATAAAGCTACACTGTAAATGCCAAGATAACAACTACGTGGGGAAACTGATACGTGGTCTTACCTGGAGAATGTTAAAGATAGTGAAGATACTTAATCTTTGGTAAATAATTAATGATAATGTTTAATTTCGAGGTGACTAAATTTAGATATACTGTACCAGTAAATTTCCTGTAGGCAATTAAAATATTCTCCAGGTAATGCCACTAATTACACTATAGACCGTAGATTTATGTTGACTGTTGTAATAGCGATGATATTATTGTTGTACTATTAAATTTTGTACCTGTAAATAAAATAATAAAATATTTTTGATTATGCCTCTTTCTTTCAGTTGTTTCACTATTAATGAAAAAAAAATGAAAATGGGTAAAATATATAGTGAAATAGATTAATGTATCAGAAAATGAGAGGAGTGTATAATGAAGGTGATGAGACGGAGGGAACCAAGAACATTTCATTTTGAAATATCTTCGATGTTATTTCTAGGTATTCATTATTTTAGTAATAGTATTACTAGTAGTAATAATAATAATAGTAGTAGTAGTAGGCTGGAGGCCATTTAAACAAAGTAGTAGTAGCAGTAAGAGTAGTATTTCTGTTATTTATGTTACCGTTACCATTCTCCACAAACCAAGATAACACAGCAGATTCCAGAGGGTAGTAACAACAGTGGGTTGTAACAACAGTGGATTGTAACAACAGTGGGTAGTAACAACAATTGGGTTGTAACAAAGTGGGAGAAGTAACAACAATGGGTAGTAACAACAGTATGTAATAACAACAGTGGATAGGAACAATAGTAGGAAGTAACAACAGTGGGTAGTAACAACAGAAGTAGTAACAACAGTGGATAGGAACAATAGTAGGAAGTAACAACAGTGGGTTGTAACAACAGTGGGTAAGTAACATGATGGGTTGTAACAAAAAGTGGGAAGTAACAACAGAGGGTAGTAACAACAGTATGTAATAACAACAGTGGATAGGAACAATAGTAGGAAGTAACAACAGTGGTTAGTAACAACAGAAGTAGTAACAACAGTGGGTTGTAACAAAAGTGGGAAGTAACAACAGAGGTAGTAACAACAGTATGTAATAACAACAGTGGATAGGAACAATAGTAGGAAGTAACAACAGTGGGTAGTAACAACAGTGGGTTGTAACAACGTGGGTTAACAACAGTGGGTAGTAACAACAGTGGGTTGTAACAAAAGTGGGAGTAACAACAGAGGGTAGTAACAACAGTATGTAATAACAACAGTGGATAGGAACAATAGTAGGAAGTAACAACAGTGGGTAGTAACAACAGAGGTAGTAACAACAGTGGGTTGTAACAACAGAGGGTAGTAACAACAGTGGGTTGTAACAACAGTGGGTAGTAACAACAGGGTAGTAACAACAGTATGTAATAACAACAGTGGATAGGAACAATAGTAGGAAGTAACAACAGTGGGTAGTAACAACAGAGAGTAGTAACAACAGTGGGTTGTAACAACAGAGTAGTAACAACAGTGGATAGGAACAATAGTAGGAGTAACAACAGTGGGTAGTAACAGAGTAGTAACAACAGTGGATAGGAACAATAGTAGGAAGTAACAACAGTGGGTAGTAACAACAGAGTAGTAACAGTGGATAGGAACAATAGTAGGAAGTAACAACAGTGGGTTGTAACAACAGTGGTAGTAACAACAGAAAGTAGTAACAACAGTGGTTGTAACAACAGAGGGTAGTAACAATAGTAGGAAATATACAGTGGGTAGTAACAACAGAGGGTAGTAAAACGGTAGGTAATAACAACAGTGTAGTAACAACAGAGTTAGTAACAACAGTAGGTAATAACAACAGTGGGTAGTAACAATAGTAGGAAGTAACAACAGTGGGTTGTAACAACAGTGGGTAGTAACAACAGAGAGTAGTAACAACAGTGGGTTGTAACAACAGAGGGTAGTAACAATAGTAGGTAATAATAACAGTGGGTAGTAACAACAGAGGGTAGTAACAACGGTAGGTAATAATAACAGTGGGTAGTAACAACAGAGGGTAGTAACAACGGTAGGTAATAACAACAGTGGGTAGTAACAACAGAGGGTAGTAACAACAGTGGGTTGTAACAACAGTGGGTAGTAACAACAGTGGGTTGTAACAAAAGTGGGAAGTAACAACAATGGGTAGTAACAACAGTATGTAATAACAACAATTGGGTAGTAACAACAGAGGGTAGTAACAACAGTGGGTTGTAACAACAGTGGGTAATAACAACAGTGGGTAGTAACAACAGTGGATAGGAACAATAGTAGGAAGTAACAACAGTGGGTAGTAACAACAGAGAGTAGTACAACAGTGGGTTGTAACAACAGTGGGTTGTAACAACAGAGGATTGAATAACAACAAGTGGGTAGTAACAACAGAGTAGTAACAACAAGAGTAGTAACAACAGAGGTAGTAACAACAGTGGGAAGTAACAACAGTGGGTTGTAACAACAGAGGGTAGTAACAACAGTGGATAGGAACAATAGTAGGAAGTAACAACAGTTAAGTAACAGAGAGTAAGTAACAACAATTGGGTTGTAACAACAGAGGTAGTAACAACAGTGGATAGGAACAATAGTAGGAAGTAACAAGTGGGGTAGTAACAACAGAGGTAGTAACAACAGTGGGTTGTAACAACAGTGGGTAGTAACAACAGTGGATAGGAACAATAGTAGGAAGTAACAACAGTGGTAGTAACAACAGAAGTAGTAACAACAGTGGGTTGTAACATAGAGGTAGTAACAACAGTGGGTTGTAACAAAGTGGGAAGTAACAACAATGGGTAGTAACAACAGTATGTAATAACAACAGTGGGTAGTAACAACGGTAGTAACAACAGTGGGTTGTAACAACAGTGGGTAGTAACAACAGTGG